ATTGCTCTGTCATGCTTCCACAGTGTATTTGTCAGGATTTGGTACAAGCTTCTGCTGACCTCATGGGATGAGTTAGAGGGTTCTGTTACCCTCTGTTTTCAGAAAAAGTTTGGGAGCATTGGTGCAGTTCTTTCTTATATTTTAATATTTCTTGATAAAGCAATCTAGGTCTGAATTGTTCTTGGTGATTATTTTCAGACTAGACATAGGACTGTTCAGTTTGCTTCTTATTGTATTTCTTTTGGTTAAATTATGTATTTAAAAAAATTGTTCATTTCATCTAAGTTGCCATATTCATACGCATTTAATTTCTTTTTCTTTTTTCTTTTTGGAATTACTGAGGATTGAACCAAGGGCCTTCACACCATCTAAGTACATCCTCAGCCCTTTTTTATTTTTTATTTTGAGATAAGGTCTCAAATTTGCCAAGTTGCCTTGGCTAGGTTTCAACTTGCCGTCTTCCCTGAGGACTAGGGTTACAGGCATGGGCCACCACACCTGGCTTGTACTGTCCTTTTTTTAGCAACAGGATCTGTAGTAATAACCTTTCATTCCTATTATTGATACTCTGTGTTTTTTTTATTTATCAGTATTGTTATGGGTTTATGAATTGTATTAACTTTCCAAATAAAACATTTTTACTTCGTTGCTATTTTTTAGATTTGCATTTTATTTAATATTGATTTCCACTTCTATGATTTCCTTTCTTGAGCTTATGAAGAAGAGTAGCCTATGTCTAGCTTCCTCAGAACAAAGCCTAGACTACTGATTTTATGTGTTCTTTTATAATAGAAGCATTCACACTTAGAAAATTTCCCTCTGAGCACTACTTCAGCTGTATCCCACAAATTTTGTTATGTTCTTTTTTGATTATCATTCATGTAAAAATATTTTATACTTTGCTGTATATTCTTTGACCCATAGATTATTAGAAGTATGTTAACTTCCACATATTTGAAAATTTTATAGATATCTTGTTGTTGCTGATTACTAATATTATCTGATCAGGGAATATATGCTATAAGATTTCAGTCTTTTGCAATTTGTTGAGGTTTGTTTTATGGCTGAGCAAGTGGTGTATCCTTGCACATATTTCATATGCCCTTGAAAGGAGCATGTGCTCCATAATTGTTGAGTATATTGTTCTACAAATGTCATTTAACTCTGACTAGTTGATGGCTATTTAGATGATATGTACTTTATTGAATGTTTGTTGATTTTCTTTTTATCAGTTCCTGAGAGGAGAATGTTAAAATTGCCAGTCATCATTGTGGGATTGTTTATTTCTCTCTTATGGCTGTCAATTTATGCCTGTGTTGTGAAGCATTCACACTTAGAAAATTTCCATAAATGTGGTTCAGAAACATTTAAATAAGTAATGTCCTCTTAAGGATTGGTCCTTTCATCATTATGAAACGTCCCCCTTTATGTGTATTACTTTTTGCCTTAAAGTCTTCTTTCATGTAATTTTCTTATGTATTTGCATCTTTTTCTACCCTTTTACATTTAACCTGTGTTTATATATTGTTTCTAAAAAAAACTAAACATAGTAGTTGAATATTACTTTTCTATGAATTCTGAAAATTTCTGCTTTTAATTGGATTGTTTATAATTATATAATTATAGATAGATGCAGTTGGTCGTAAGCCTGCTGTCTTAGTGTTTGTTTTTTAGTGTGTTGTTTGTTCTTCCTCCTTTCTTGTTTTATTTAGGGTAAATCTGCTCTTGTTTAGTTCTCCATCTACTTGTTTATTTTTTGTTTCCTCTCATTTTTAGTGGTCGCTCTAGAGAGTACAATATGTACCTTGTTCCAGAGTATATTTTCAAATAGTATTAATGGTCCTGTTTTAAAAGAGCATTTCCATTTATCCTCTCTTGTCCATTGTGATCTTGGCATCTTATACATAATTTTTATACAAACCATAAATCCTACAATTCAGTGTTCTTATGGTTTTAAAAACTAATAGATTTCTACAGTATTGAGACAGATACATACATCTTTACATATAAATTAGAAATACTAAAAATTTAATGATTTTGTTTACAGATGTATTTAAATTTTTTTTCTAAAAGATGCTCTGCTCTTTCTGAATATCTGGTGTCACTTCTCTTCAGTAAGAACTTTCCATAGCATTTCTTGTAATGCATATCTATTAAAAATTAATTCTCTCAGTTTTGTCTGTCTAAAAGTACTCTTATTTCATCTACATTTTTGAAGTATATCTTTTTAGATATGGAATTTTAGAAAAACAAGGTTTTTTCCCCCACTTTCAAGATTTCTTTTCCATTGCTTCTTGTGCAAAGTCATGTAATTTGTACTGTTCGAACCTGCAAGTAAGATGTGGTTTTCTTTGTGCTTATTCTGTTTGGTAGTTTCAGAGCGTATGAGAGGAAAACAAAAATTGTTTTTACCTTCTTTACTCTCAATGCAAAGCACTTCTGTGATCAAATGTGTGGGGCTTGCCCACACCAAGTGACTGTCTGACGCCAGCTGGTTGTTCTAGAATTGAATTATGCTGTCCGCCCCACAGGGTAAGAGTCAGTTCCACAAGACTGCCACCACTTTAGGTGCCAGCCACAAAATCCAGGTTGCCACCCATGGGACTCTTACAAACCCCTCCTTGGGTTTCATCATTTGTGGACTTGCTTACAGACTCAGGAAACACACAGATTTATTGTATTAATAAGAGGTATGACAAAGGATGCAAATGAACAGTCCGATGGAGAGATATTTTGGGTGAGGTCTGGGAGGGTCCCACACAGGACCTTTTGTCTGTCTCTTGCAGTTGATGTTTGCTGCCCTTCTTGCACATGGATGTATTCACCAATCCAGAACTCTGAACCTTAGAGTTTGATGGGTTTTTAATGGCAGGTTCATCTTGTAGGTATGATAGATTATTAACTCAGTCTCCTCTTCCTTGAGGATCAGGAATAGGGCTGAGTGTTCCAAGCTTCTGAAAATGGCGTGGTCTGTCTGGTGACCAGCCCCCATCCAGAAGCCAAGTAAGTCTCTTCATTAGAACAGAAGATAATCCTGTCACCCAGGAAATTCCAGGGGATTAGGAGTTCTGTGCTGAAGAACAAATATTAGAGCATAATGTATACTAAGCAACCCCATTGTTTAGGAATTTATGTGTTGTAGGAGCTCAATGTGAGCAACTGGGAACAGAGATCAAATATATACTTTTTATTATGTCCCACAGGGTTTCAGAGAAATATTAATCTATGAATTACAGTTGTTCATCAGTCCCCAGCCATTCTCTCCTTTAGTATTTCTTCTGCCCTGTTTTCTGTTTTTTTGTCTATAACTTGTTGTACTTGTTAGTATATATAATGTTCTTTTAGATCTCAGGAATACTGGTTTTTCATTCTTTTTCTCCTTTTCTTTTAATTAAGAATTTTATTGCTCTGTTTTCAACTTTATTAGACCCTTTATTAGACTTGCTCAGTCTGTTGTTATACTTATTTATTTCATTTCTGATATCAAGATTTTCATTTCTCTATTTCCTTTTGGCTCTTTTTCATAATTTCTACTTCGATGTTGAAATTCCCTCTTTTCACATTTGTTGCCCATCTTTTCTTCTCAGTCTTTGAGCATATTTATTGTACTTGTCAGAAAGTCTTTCGGTGCATCTAACACTTGAGTCATCTTTTGAATCTTTTCTCTATTGAACGTAGATCATACTTTCTTGTTTCTTTGTGTGTGTGTCTTGTAATATTATATTGTATGCTAGACAGTTTGTTTTAAAAGGGACTCTGCAGACTGAACTAAATATTTATCTCCAGAGGTGTCATGCCCACCCCCATATTTTGTCAGGCTGCTGAATGTGCAGTTGGGTGAACTGGGGTCTTGTTGCAGCTGTGGTTAAGTTCAAGTCACCTTATTGAGAAAGTGACCTAGGCTTTATCTTCATAGGGTTTAGAATGTGAGTACTTCAGAGATTCCGGAAGTATCTTTGTGCTTAGGGCTGAACCACCAGCCTTCTCAATGGTGGGAAATTTCTCCTGCTTCCTACCCACATTGAAAGCACTTTTGCGTCTTTGAAGAGCGTTCTTGGCCTCCAGCCCATCTGCGGCTTTGTTTCTCTGCAAGTTTGTCTTGTCCTGAAGCCCTTACTCCCCTCCTAGATGGGCAGTTCATTCTCCTGCCACTCCACTGCTCTTTCTTTCTTCTTTCTTGGGGGTAATTTTATTTAAATTCCCTTGCTTTCTCAATTTTCTGAGAATTTTTAAAAGGTCATGGGATTGTTCAATTTATTTAGTCGATTTTGGCAAAAGGTTCATTTCTGGTGCTGGGGATTGAACCCCAGGCTTCATACATGCTTACCATGTGTTCTGTCACTAAGCTATACCTCAGCTCAGGAGATTTATTTTCAACTGTTATTTGCTTGTATTTTTGGTAATATTAATGATTTAGTTATTTTGTATCATTTTTATAATTCTTAAAAAATTAGTAAACCAGAAGGAGTAATATATTTTGCTGATTATATATCTTAGGAGTGGATAGTACAGCGGTCATCTTTGATTGGCTTTGCCTCAATATTTCTAAAGAACAAAGTACTGTACAACTGAAATTTATGTAATTATAATTATGCAGTTATAGCCTGATAAAAAAGAATGCAAAATAAATGTGAACATTGCCAAAATGGTTTGTATGTCTATAAAAAGAGGTCTTAGTGACACAAAAATAGAAGATTTTATTCATAGAAGAATAGTTTCAAGAAAACCTATTTTGGCAAAAGTACAAGTTCAGCTAAACTTTTAAAATGTAACTTATATGTCTACCTTCGCTTCTGTGGTGCATAATCTCTTCTGTTTTTAACAATCAAGTTTTCATTTTGCCACTTAAAAGAATGTTAACTTGTTTAAGCAGCCAGTTTATAATGCCACTTATCTTGTATTAAGTATAGTGTTTAGACAAATACCACACACAGCTGAGCTGTAGTTAAACCTGGAGAGTAGATCAGTTTCTGACTTCTTTTACTGGAAAACATTTTCAGATTCCACAGTGTTTCTGAAAAGCTACACATGGAATGCAAGGCAGAAATGGTGACACCGCTGGTAACAAATCCTGGACATGTGTGCATCACAGACACCAACCTGTATTTTCAGCCTCTCAATGGGTACCCGGTATGTAGACCACATGGTCAGGGCAGAGCTGCGTCTGTCTTTAAGTTTGGGTTTCTGGGAGTGTAGCTTCACATTTACCACACTTTTGTGAGGCTCGAAATCACTGCCCCTCCCCCACACTCAGGTGTTTCACGTGCGCCCTATGTAATCCCGGTACAGTCCCCTGAGTTTGCAGCTCTTCCACTATGTTCAGTCACCCTGGGACCCTTGCACTCAGTATTGTGTTAAGAAACCTTGTCCTACCGATTTTACTCAAGAGTCCATGGAGACTTATTCCTTTCTGCTAGGAAGCATTTTTGGAAGAAATCAAGGAACTACCATGAATGAGGAACTACCATGAATATACTATCATGAAGAAGAAATACATGTTTTTTGCATATTTGCTTATGTGTATGCACACATGTGATGGCACTTCTTATTTCTTCCTGATTACAAATACAATCAAGAAGTGTGAATTTTTCTTTAAGAAGCACTTGGAACTGGCCCTTCTTTCAGCCAGTGTGAAAGTCAAATGTAGAGCTGCAACCTTCTGACTTCATAGAGTTCCTTTTCTGATCTTGGAAACAGGCTTCTTTTTCACAAGGAAATTAGACCAGAAAATAGAGATGAATTTAGATTTCTGCCTTAAAACTTGTAAAGAATTCGTGCTTACCTAGAACTGGCCCCTTAAAGGTGTGGTTCACTGAAAGAGCAGAAGTCATGACCCCTCCGGCAGTTCATCGGGGCCACTTGGCAGTACAGCTTAAAGAATCAAGAATGTTTTCTGCTATAGAAAGCCACACTCTGGAGGTTCACCAGCTTGTCATTCCATGGTACTAAATCATGTAATGCAATTTGAGTCAAATATGATGTTATAACAATTCTGTCCACTAGGTGGTGGAGCACCCTTGCGGAATTCTCCAGTAGACAGCGCACAAGGCTGGAATGGTGTTCCCTAGTGGTGTGCTAAATTGGCTGGTGTTACTGTTGCCTGGGTTAAAAGCTCGTAGAAAAATAAGTGTGTGCCACAGCTTCAAGATCCATAGTCGGAGCATTTATCCTTTCTCAGACTTCGGTGCTAGTATCCTTGGCCTTCCTTCAGGTCTTCAGCACATTTTCTGCCATGAGAAAACATGGCCTTTTAGCCAGTTACAGTACGTGTGTAACCTTGTTTCTTTCTTGTATTTTAAAGTTCTAGGAAAGAAAGAAAATTATTTTCTTCATTAAGAAAGTAACAGCTTAGAGGCCTTGTCCTATACTATAATAATTTGTCATAACCTGGAAGATAAGTGACTATCAGTCGAGGGGTAATGAGTAGCAGTAAAGCACTTGGCCACCATCATAAAGCACATGAAAAGTGGCAGACAGAATGTCACCAGACATGTCTTGTTCCAAAGTCTTTCTCTCCAGTTGTACACTTGTAACAGATTGGGAAGGCAAGAGTTGGTCATTTATTTTCCCTTTCTGATACTAACGAACAATTTCTTCTTTTTACAGAAACCTGTGGTCCACATTACACTCCAAGACATCCGCCGCATTTACAAAAGGAGACACGGCCTCATGCCCTTGGTGAGTTCAAGTGAAGTCCCATTCTCAGTGGATAGTTGTCCTTCCTTCACTTTAGCTGCTGTTTCCTTGACTTACAAATGCCTGAAAAAGTGCAAATATGTTTTATTATAAGCAATGGACACCCATTCTTGGTGCTCTCTCTTTTGGATAAGCTAGACCTTGATAAAGGAATAACTGTTTTCTGTAGATAATAGGTTCTATGGCAGAACCATTTTTAGTTGAGAGAACAAGAGGGCAGAGTGGGTGTCTGAGTTTCTCACTTCTGCGCTATCAGTCTCCAGGCTTAGGGGGGAATAATGTGTGCAGCATCCAGGGCTCCTTGCCACCACCTGGTCACCACAGTGAGTCCCAAAGTAAATTTGGAAGATACTATGACACCGACTCCAGTGGGACTGCAGTGTAGTCATAGTTAGCATGCGTTAATTAAACCTTTGAGCTTAGTGAGAGAGAAATAAGGGAGCCATTTAAATCACAGGAGTGGTTCTTCCCACCATTCCTCTGAGTAAGCATGTATGCCCATACTTAACATTTGTCTTCCTTTAGGACCGGTCTTACAGAAGCTATGATTCCAAGAGGTTTTGATTTGATATCAATATTAATTCATTTTTTTCATTGAAGACTTAATAACTGATAATTTTACAGGCCTTGTAGACTCTTAACTCTACAGATACTGCAAAATATTTGAGTATAGAAGAGCAGTCTGAAAAAGAGAAGAAAGTAACACTGATTATGTGCCTCCTGTGTAAAGGACTTTCATACACTGTATTTTTTTTGCCATAACAAACCCCTGGATGTAGATGATCTCATATTTTATAGATAATGGAACTGAGACTCCAGGAGTAGCTTCCTAAGCTCCCGAGATGGGAAACGGTAGAAGCTGGAATTTGAACAGGATGACTTTCATCCTTTCTTTTTTTTTTTTTTTGGTTTTTCTCCGGTACCGGGAACCGAACTCACGACCTTGCGCTTGCCAGGCAGGCGCTTTTGCCGCTGAGCTAAA